AAAAAAAAAAAAAAAAAATTATGAACACATTTAATGAACAGTTTTTTTTTTTTTATTCTTCTGTAACCTGTTATGTTAGTACAGTGCCCATCAATTGATGGCATCCTAAAACACAGCAAATTTAGTTTCTTATTCTGGTAGAAAATATGGTTTCTACTTAGTGCTGTCCAGCTGATAGAATTGCTGAGCAGTTAGCTCAGCAGTTCTTAAGAGTACGTTGGTAAAATGCTGTTGGGGTGGGTGTTAATAGGTGTGCTCTTATAAAGGGCAAATCCATTTGGGAAGCACTGCCTGTTATTTTTTCCTCTTGTAGAGATTCTCAACATGGGCACCATTATATCAAAGACTATGAGAAGTGCTGTAGTTAACAACATCAACAACAAAAACTTGGTTACGTTTATTCAAGTCAGTGTTTCCCAGAATACAGAATGTTTCTGAGGTTATATGTGTATCTTTTAGGACTCCATTACTGAATAAGCACAAAGCACAATTTTAATATGTGGTTTAATATTGTGGGTGGGATGGTTTTACCTAGTATATACCAAAAATATAGTGGCATTCATTAAGTATGGATATTAATTAATGAACTCTCTAAGTGATTACTTTTTATTTCAGGGTAGAGGGGAACATTTTAGGTTGTGGTGGCTAAGAAATTCTCCATGAAGGGGCTGGACTATGAGAATATAAATGGTGGGTAGTACTCTTCTAGAGATAAGGGACATTTTAGGTTGGTGGGATAATGAAGCAGGAGTGAGGACTTGCATTTGTGCCTGCATATAAATAATTTTCAGAGCATACAAGAAAATGGATTGTGCCCAACACAGTGTGAGATTTACTGACTGCAGTGGTGGTCAAAGAACCTATTAAGGCCAGGTTTGGTGGCTCACGCCTGTAATCCTCACATGTCGAGGCTGTAGTGAGCCCTGATCGTGCCACTGCACTCCAGCCTGGGCAACAGAGTAAGACCCTGTCTCAAACACAAAACAAAACAAAAAGTTCGTTGATTCTGTAAATTCATTGAAGTAGCAGATCAGTTCTAGAGATGACTGGACAGCTAGTTGTAGATCAGCAGGAGTGGAGGTGCAACACTCAGGATGAAAGCTGGCAGCAGTGCATGGAATTGAAGGGGAGCATGAAGTGTTCTGGTACCATTAGTCATTAGGGGAATGCAAATCAAAACCACAGCCAGATGCCACTTCACACCCACCAGGACGGCCAGGTGGAGAATGAGGAGAAATATGGGACCCTCCTACATTAGATTGCTGGTGGGAATGTAAAATGGTGCAGCCACTTGGGAAAACAGTTTAGCAATTCCTCAAAATGTTGAACATTGGTTATCTAATGACCAATTCCCCTCCAAGATAGATACACAAGAGAAC